AGACAGTGTAAGAGGATTTCTCAAAGGCAGGGGCATTATCGTTGATATCTGAAATCTCTAGTGAGATGGTTTTCAGTGTAGAAAGAGGGGGTGTACCTTTGTCTGTGGCTGTGATTGTAAGATTGTATGCTGGTGTGCTTTCTCTGTCTAGGGGACCATCTGTAAGCAGCTTATAATAGTTATTAGAGGCTGATACTATTTTGAATGGGGAAGTATTTTGTAAATGGCAATTAACCTCCGCATTATCCCCTGAATCTTTATCATTTGTACTGATAAGGGCTACCAGTGTTCCTAATTCAGAATCTTCAGGAATTTCTCTGGATGAGGAGGCAAGAATCACTTCTGGGGCATTATCATTCACATCTAATAGCTTTAGTTCAACATTACAATGAGCTACTAATCCACCTCCATCCCTTGCTTCTACTGCTATGGTATACTTCTCTGTTTCCTCAAAGTCTAGCTCTTCCTGAATTGTTATAAGTCCATCTTGTGGATGTAAGTTGAATTTCTGATGAGCATTGTCAGCAATATTGCTAAAGCTATAGTTGATCTGGCCATTGGAACCTTCATCTCGGTCCGTGGCTTTCACCTGTATTAATGTAGACCCCTTTGATGCATTCTCTTCGAGGCTGATTTTGTACACTTTTTGACTGAAGATGGGTGGATTATCATTAGCATCAATGACTTTGATCAATATTTTAGCTGTTCCAGTTTTTGGAGGGTTCCCTCCGTCAAGAGCCGTAAGTGTCAAACTAATGGCACTTTCACTTTCACGATCCAACTGTTTTTCCAATACTAATTCTGCATACTTGTTTACAGAGTCACGTTTGCTAATATCTAGAATAAAATATTGGTTAATTGTTAGATGATAATCCTGGAGTGAATTTGTCCCAATATCAGGATCTTCTGCTTGTTCAAGAAGAAATGTGGCTCCTGGTAAAGAGGATTCAATTATCTCTAGCTTGATATCATCATTTAAGAAATGTGGTGCATTATCATTAATATCCTGGATCTCTACTGTTATATAAAATATGTCCATAGGGTTTGCACACACTGCTTCAAAACTGATGGGGCAGAAAGCAGTTTCCCCACAGATTTCCTCTCTGTCAATCCTGTCATTTACATACAGATTCCCATTTTTGGCATTAATGGAGAAGTATTGCCTTTTGCCTAAAGAAAGGATATGCAGGTTGCGATTTCCTACTTCTGCAGGATTCAGTCTCAAATCCTTGGCAAGATTCCCCACAATGGAACCCTTTCCCATTTCCTCTGGAATTGAATAGCGAACGTGCTCTGAGACAGTCTGGCTGAGGAAAGACAATAAGAAGAGGATTCGTACTTGCCTTTTTACAGATCTGCTCTTAGCTTTGCTCCTGCCGTCCATCCCACTTGCTGTGAAAAATGCTTTGTGCGATCCAGTAAGCTGAGGAGTTTCAAATTCCCATTAGGACACCAAAAGACAGGCAGCATAAAGAGGGTCCTGGGTTTCTCCTGAGTTTATCAACATTGCAGTGGTTTTCTTTTCTCAGCCATGGTCTTTGCATATCCCTCAATCCTGCTGTTTGACTGCTCTGCACTCAATGACTGGATAGTCAGAATGCAGGAAGCCCCATTAGATTTCCAATTCCTCTCTGAGAACTACGTTGGCCAACAGCGGCACTCTGAGTCTCAGATGCAGAACTACAAGAAGCATCTTAAAGAAAGAACATTGTTTTTTTTCCATTTTACTGATGATGTTGTATGATTATGAAGGACTGCTTGTATAGTTTGCTAAGTATGTTTCTTGTGTACTTTATCAGTAGTAGAAGCAATGATTTATCTGAAAGAAATCTCAGAAGTCAAAAATTATCCACAATTCTTTTCAGTAGTGCTCATAGTTTTTTTGAAATTGATAACTGGGAAACCCTTTATTAGAATGATCCACATGACAGAAAAGCACAGTGTTTGCAAGTTTTTGAGTGCTCCAGAAATCTTCACTGAGCAAGAAGTTAGAAAAGAAGTTCAGGGTAGAAGCAGTATAGTCCAAAACATAGGCTAGATGTTTCAGCCACGAATTCTGCAGTTGAAAGTCAGTCCCTAAAAGGTAGTTGTTGACCAAATGCAGAGTCACTATTATGTGTGTTTGGTGCCAGATTATACCCATTTTTTAGAGAGAAAGGAAAAGACTATTCTGAAACTGCAAATTGACCTGTTGAATGACACTGCTCCTTTAAATTATAATTGGGAGATTGTACTATTTTATAACACAAATGTCAGTGTCTGGAAATGCTGCCCCTTTATATGTGGACTTGAATTATTTTACGCATTACAGACTTCAGTCTGTAGTAGTCTGCAATATACAGAAATGAGCAGCTGAGTAAAGAGATGGTGGCGTTGTGATAATAAATACACATTCTCTGTGAAGTTGAATCTTCAAATATATAGATGGACATGTGTGACATCAGAAGCCTACCTATAAGTATGCAAAGCTTTGAGATACATATATTCCCTGGGGGAGGGATTTTCAAGAAATCTTTTGAAAGTTTACAGTAGGGCTCCCTGAAGGCTTTGGCATCATGATATAGGACTGAATTTCTCAGGCTTCTCTGCATACCTTCAATAGAAAAACAGAAATAACGCTCCCCAAGTAGAGGATGCCCAGTCAAATGTAGTGGCTTTTTATTCTTCTACCTTCTTCCTTTGGCATTCTAATATAATTGGAAGGATGGTGGGTGCTTTGAAAGTCTGGGGGAACATAGCTTTTTTTTTTTAACATCACTTTAATTTGCCTCTTCAGACAGATCCCTTTAGTGCCTAACTCTCTTCTACTCAATGTTATAATGATGTTCAAGAAATAAAATTGTATTCAATTCTTCTTGCAGTTAACTACTGAAAACTGTAATTGAAAAGTACATTTAAGGAACGTTTAAAGCTGGGTCTTATGCAGGGCAACAAAGACAGTCCTTTCAAAAGTCATTCATAAATTGTCATTTTTAATGTGATGGAAAGCGACTGCATGGAGAGTAATTATATTAACTGTTTCTAATGAACATGGTTTGATTTTTGACAACCAATTTTAAATATAATTTAGTTTTACCCTGGCTCTGCCTCCTTTTTTAAATCTGCCCCTCAACCTGCCTTCCAAAGGCGATACGTGGAGCTCGGCTCAGAAATGCTGGCACACCTTGGATTGAAGAGTTGGAATTCCTGTATTTAATTCTACATAGGTTATGCTATCAAAGTCTCTATGTCGCAACTTCACAAAAGGATAACTGCACTACTGTAAACGCTATCTGAGTAAGGAGAAATCTTGGATGATCACACATTTAAATCCTGTTGCACTTTTATCATCAACTAATGTTGGGCTCTCCTATTTCTCAGCCTAGAGTTTCATGTAAACATCTCTATAAAGAAGGTAGATAAAGATTCCCTTGAGCTAAGCTTAACCCCTGGTGAAAAAATTGATACCTCTTTCTAGTTTTTGTGGGAATACTTCTGACATTTCTTGTCATTGCCACCTTCTAGATGGTTTCCATTTCTCTGTCAAGCCTGCAGCTGTATGATATCCTGGGAGTCTCCCATCCATGTATTAACCTCACCTTGCTTTTCTTTTGGGGGATCAGCCAAGCTCAACCAAGATTAGCTTGGTGAGTGCTGCTACCTGGGCTTTTGCCTGATGCTCTGCTGAATATTTTTTACCATTCTTATCTACTATGGTCATTCAGCGTGATAAAAGAGAATTTGCTGGCTTTTGAAATTTCTTTAGAAGAACAAGAGATTCCAGAGAAATTCTTATGGGTGGAGTACAATGTTCCTGTATTTATTTAACTGCAAGATGCTCATGGAGTGTGTATAGTAAAATCTGATCTTTCATTCCATAATCATCTCTTCAACAGTTGATTGCAAACTGCATGAGTAAACAAGTGCGATGTGGTAGCAAAAAGACAAATACAATTTTAGTTGCATGAACAGAAATACAATTTAAATCATAGGAAGTTGTTCAAATTTATTTTGCATGGATCAGACCTCACTTTTACAGTGCCCGGAATTCAGAGAAATTGAAAACCGATTCAGAGAAGGGCTAAAAGGTTGGTCGGGGAAGTATAAATTAAACTGCATGAAGACATGTTGACAGAACTGGGTACATTTAGATGGGAAACATGATCACTTATTTGCTGCCCCTTTTTGTGACTCTTGGCAATCAAAACCATTAAGACATAGCTAAGATGTGAAGAGAAGGTATATGATACCAGTATTCAAATAGCTGAAATGATTAATACAGAAGAAGGACACACCTGAACTCTAAAAGGACGATCAGGGAATTACAAGTTAAACAGTATGAAGGGAGATCAAAATTTAGGCTGGAAAAGAAATTATTTCCTTAGTTACATATTTAGTGCCCTGTTTTGTGACTCTAGATAATTAACAACAATTATAAGAATGTCATGTTAAGATAAGAAGAGAAGGAAAACGATAGTACTTTTCAAACCTTGAAAGGATGTAATACAGAAGAAGGTCAAGGCCTTTTCTCTGTCATTTCAGAATGCAGCACATGCAACAACTAAGTTTTAAGAAAGCTGATTGCAAGTGGATTTTAGAAAGAACTTTCCAACAGTATCAGTAGTTTGACAGTGGAACCAATTATGCAGAGATGTGATTCCTTGGCTGTGTTCAAGCAGAAGCAACCTAGACTGCCATCTATCCCGGATGCTTTAGTTTGGATGCTTGCATTCAGCAGAAGACTAGATACGGTGGCCAAGCACCACGATTCTGTGGCCTTGGACCTGGAACTTGACTAATTCTGAGTTTCCTTTATTCTATTATCATAAATCTTGTGTTACAGCCCATGGCTACACACCTATTAACTTTGGATGAGTGGTACACTTTTGAAGGGAATACCAACACTACCTATGATTAAAACATTGGTTTTAATCTAACCTCTTTAGATTAAGCCTATCGTTCACATATAAATCGCTTCTCTTAGATGCCATGGTATAGCCACTGGCCATATCCAGGCTATCAGTCTAAGGGAATGCCACTTACAACAAAAAATGTCCAGAAAGCAGAACTGATTGAGACTTTAGGGGCTTCTTGTAATCAAGTTAATTAACATAACTATATAGATTATTGAAGGGTGTTTTTTTTCTAAATTAGAACCACTTGTATATCTATATAATGGAGGAATGCTTAATATTAATGTAAAAGCAAACTATTACCTGATAAATCTCTTTGATCCAGCAAGTATTTTGATACAATAAAATGCAAAAATATGTCCTTATCTAAATTAAGTAAACACTTGACAGGTAATATTAGATAAGTGTGTATGAGACTGAAAAGTGAATACTTTCAGATAGAGAACAGATAATAGGTAGTCCAACACTGATGTCTAAGGGAAAAGTACGGTATCTCTTTGTATCGGCACATTCCTAAAATCGTTATGACATACGGGAATTGGTGTATTTCCTTTAGTATAATTCAGGACATCTCTGCAAGAATAATTCAAATGTTACCTGAAAATTATATTTTAAAAAGGCTTTCCCCTCCCCCTTTAAAAACTATCATTGTAATAAGCATAGAGCGTACAACGTAAGTAGAATAGAGGCCAGTTTAAAACCTTCAAGTTCATGGAAACAGTTATTACCTAGACATAAGAAATGCAGAGTAATATGATAATTTCTCTTAGGTTAAAACACTATGGGAATTACAGTTCTTAAAAAAAAGAAACTTATCTTGCTATTGCACTCAGTTGGAGAATTCAAATTAATTATCCCACGTTCTGAGAAAGGGCATGTTAAATTGCTCACCAGAAGGAATATTGTCAAAAACCTAATTCATTAGGATTATCCTGGGAAGTCCTCTACAGTATATGCTAATCTATAATCAGGCAGCCAAAACGATAAACTCCCCTATGCTGAATACAGAATGGCAAACTAACTCTACCTCCTTTCCCAAACATCTTCTCTTAAGCAGCTCTGCCCATATGTGGAAACCAGTATGTGGAAACCTTCCGTATGCGGAAGCTACCCGAACTGTATAACAGGACCCAATTTTAGAAGGTTCTTGACCTTGGCCCACTGTGATGCTCTGCCTATTGCTGTATTGGAAGGGAAATTCAGAAGACTCCCTTATAATGACCAACTATATCCTTGTGGATCGAACGCAGTAGAATCCCCAAGCCGCGTTTTATTATAAAGCCTCTTCTACAGAGATATTAGGAACAGATATATTACACTTCTTTTAGTGAACTAACCAGGACACAATTTTTATGTTCAGCTATTGCTGACTGATCAGTACACTCTTACATCACCAGCAGTGGCCAAATTCTGCTTTGCTACCTTTAAGTTCAGAACCCATTTCTGGTCCAGCAAGAGAAATAATCTGCACCTGGATTAAAAAAAAAAAAAATCCTAGCTGCTTTCTTTCTTTTCCTTTCCTTTAAGTAGGCTTTAAAAATTACTTTCCTTTTCTTTTATTCTCCTTTCTGTATTTTGGTCTATCACCCTAAATTGAATAAATGAATTTAAAAAAATGAACGTTAGGTGTCGGAAGGGTAAAATATCCTTCTGAGTAAACAGGTGTAGCATTGTGCTGTCTCTTAGGGGATGGATGTATGGAATTTGCAATGAAATGG